GTAGGTTGGTAGAGAGATGGTAGGTTGGTAGAGAGATGGTTGGTTGGTAGAGAGATGGTAGGTTGGTAGAGAGATGGTTGGTTGGTAGAGAGATGGTAGGTTGGTAGAGAGATGGTTGGTTGGTAGACTGATAGTAGGTTGGTAGAGAGATGGTTGGTTGGTAGAGAGATGGTAGGTTGGTAGAGAGATGGTAGGTTGGTAGAGATGGTAGGTTGGTAGACTGATAGTAGGTTGGTAGAGAGATGGTAGGTTGGTAGAGAGATGGTTGGTTGGTAGACTGATAGTAGGTTGGTAGAGAGATGGTAGGTTGGTAGAGAGATGGTAGGTTGGTAGAGAGAGATGGTTGGTTGGTAGAGAGATGGTAGGTTGGTAGAGAGATGGTTGGTTGGTAGAGAGATGGTAGGTTGGTAGAGAGATGGTTGGTTGGTAGACTGATAGTAGGTTGGTAGAGAGATGGTTGGTTGGTAGAGAGATGGTAGGTTGGTAGAGAGATGGTAGGTTGGTAGAGAGATGGTAGGTTGGTAGAGAGATGGTTGGTTGGTAGACTGATAGTAGGTTGGTAAGGAGAGATGATAGGTTGGTAGAGAGATGGTAGGTTGGTAGAGAGATGGTAGGTTGGTAGAGAGATGGTTTGGTTGGTAGAGAGATGGTAGGTTGGTAGAGAGATGGTAGGTTGGTAGACTGATAGTAGGTTGGTAGAGAGATGGTAGGTTGGTAGACTGATAGTAGGTTGGTAGAGAGATGGTAGGTTGGTAGAGAGATGGTAGGTTGGTAGAGAGATGGTAGGTTGGTAGAGAGATGGTAGGTTGGTAGACTGATAGTAGGTTGGTAGAGAGATGGTTGGTTGGTAGAGAGATGGTAGGTTGGTAGAGAGATGGTAGGTTGGTAGAGAGATGGTTGGTTGGTAGAGAGATGGTTGGTTGGTAGACTGATAGTAGGTTGGTAGAGAGATGGTAGGTTGGTAGACTGATAGTAGGTTGGTAGAGAGATGGTAGGTTGGTAGAGAGATGGTAGGTTGGTAGAGAGATGGTAGGTTGGTAGACTGATAGTAGGTTGGTAGAGAGATGGTAGGTTGGTAGACTGATAGTAGGTTGGTAGAGAGATGGTAGGTTGGTAGAGAGATGGTAGGTTGGTAGAGAGATGGTTAGGTTGGTGTAGAGAGATGGTTGGTTGGTAGAGAGATGGTTGGTTGGTAGATGATAGTAGGTTGGTAGAGAGATGGTAGGTTGGTAGGACTGATAGTAGGTTGGTAGAGAGATGGTAGGTTGGTAGAGAGATGGTAGGTTGGTAGAGAGATGGTAGGTTGGTAGAGAGATGGTAGGTTGGTAGAGAGATGGTAGGTTGGTAGAGAGATGGTTGGTTGGTAGAGAGATGGTTGGTTGGTAGACTGATAGTAGGTTGGTAGAGAGATGGTAGGTTGGTAGACTGATAGTAGGTTGGTAGAGAGATGGTAGGTTGGTAGACTGATAGTAGGTTGGTAGAGAGATGGTAGGTTGGTAGAGAGATGGTAGGTTGGTTAGAGAGATGGTTGGTTGGTAGAGAGATGGTTGGTTGGTAGAGAGATGGTAGGTTGGTAGAGAGATGGTTGGTTGGTAGGACTGATAGTAGGTTGGTAGAGAGATGGTAGGTTGGTAGACTGATAGTAGGTTGGTAGAGAGATGGTAGGTTGGTAGAGAGATGGTAGGTTGGTTAGAGAGATGGTAGGTTGGTAGAGAGATGGTAGGTTGGTAGACTGATAGTAGGTTGGTAGGGAGTGGTAGGTTGGTAGACTGATAGTAGGTTGGTAGAGAGATGGTAGGTTGGTAGAGAGATGGTAGGTTGGTAGAGAGATGGTAGGTTGGTAGAGAGATGGTAGGTTGGTAGACTGATAGTAGGTTGGTAGACTGATAGTAGGTTGGTAGAGAGATGGTAGTTTGGTAGAGAGATGGTAGGTTGGTAGAGAGATGGTAGTTTGGTAGAGAGATGGTAGGTTGGTAGAGAGATGGTAGGTTGGTAGAGAGATGGTAGGTTGGTAGACTGATAGTAGGTTGGTAGAGAGATGGTAGGTTGGTAGAGAGATGGTAGGTTGGTTAGAGAGATGGTGGTTGGTAGAGAGATGGTAGGTTGGTAGACTGATAGTAGGTTGGTAGGGAGATGGTAGGTTGGTAGACTGATAGTAGGTTGGTAGAGAGATGGTAGGTTGGTAGAGAGATGGTAGGTTGGTAGAGAGGATGGTAGGTTGGTAGAGAGATGGTAGGTTGGTAGACTGATAGTAGGTTGGTAGACTGATGTAGGTTGGTAGAGAGATGGTAGTTTGGTTAGAGAGATGGTAGGTTGGTAGAGAGATGGTAGTTTGGTAGAGAGATGGTAGGTTGGTAGAGAGATGGTAGGTTGGTAGAGAGATGGTAGGTTGGTAGACTGATAGTAGGTTGGTAGAGAGATGGTAGGTTGGTAGAGAGATTGTAGGTTGGTAGAGAGATGGTTTTTGGTAGAGAGGATGGTAGGTTGGTAGAGGATGGTAGGTTGGTAGAGAGAGGTAGGTTGGTAGAGAGATGGTAGGTTGGTAGACTGATAGTAGGTTGGTAGACTGATAGTAGGTTGGTAGAGAGATGGTAGTTTGGTAGAGAGATGGTAGGTTGGTAGAGAGATGGTAGGTTGGTAGACTGATAGTAGGTTGGTAGAGAGATGGTAGGTTAGGTAGAGAGATATTAGGTTGGTAAAGAGATGGTAGGTTTGGTAAAAGAGATGGTAGGTTGGTTAGAGAGATGGTAGGTTGGTAGAGAGATGGTAGGTTGGTAGAGAGATGGTAGGTTGGTAGACTGATAGTAGGTTGGTAGACTGATAGTAGGTTGGTAGAGAGATGGTAGGTTGGTAGACTGATAGTAGGTTGGTAGAGAGATGGTAGGTTGGTAGACTGATATTAGGTTGGTAGAGAGATGGTAGGTTGGTAGAGAGATGGTAGGTTGGTAGAGAGATGGTTGGTTGGTAGAGAGATGGTAGGTTGGTAGACTGATATTAGGTTGGTAGGGAGATGGTAGGTTGGTAGAGTAGATGGTAGGTTGGTAGAGAGATGGTAGGTTGGTAGAGAGATGGTTGGTTGGTAGAGAGATGGTTGGTTGGTAGAGAGATGGTTGGTGGTAGAGAGATGGTAGGTTGGTAGAGAGATGGTTGGTTGGTAGAGAGATGGTTGGTTGGTTAGAGAGATGGTAGGTTGGTAGACTGATAGTAGGTTGGTAGAGAGATGGTAGGTTGGTAGAGGATGGTAGGTTGGTAGAGAGATGGTTGGTTGGTAGAGAGATGGTGGTTGGTAGAGAGATGGTTGGTTGGTAGAGAGATGGTAGGTTGGTAGACTGATAGTAGGTTGGTAGGAGATGGTAGGTTGGTAGACTGATAGTAGGTTGGTAGAGAGATGGTAGGTTGGTAGACTGATTAGTAGGTTGGTAGAGAGATGGTTAGGTTGGTAGAGAGATGGTTGGTTGGTAGAGAGATGGTAGGTTGGTTAGAGAGATGGTAGGTTGGTAGAGAGATGGTTGGTTGGTAGAGAGATGGTAGGTTGGTAGAGAGATGGTAGGTTGGTAGACTGATAGTAGGTTGGTAGAGAGATGGTAGGTTGGTAGACTGATAGTAGGTTGGTAGAGAGATGGTAGGTTGGTAGAGAGATGGTTGGTTGGTAGAGAGATGGTAGGTTGGTAGACTCCTAGTAGGTTGGTAGAGAGATGGTAGGTTGGTAGAGAGATGGTAGGTTGGTAGAGAGATGGTAGGTTGGTAGAGAGATGGTTGGTTGATAGGGAGATGGTTGGTTGGTAGAGAGATGGTAGGTTGGTAGAGAGATGGTTGGTTGGTAGAGAGATGGTTGGTTGGTAGAGAGATGGTAGGTTGGTACAGAGATGGTAGGTTGGTATGAGAGATGGTTTGTAGAGAGATGGTAGGTTGGTAGAGAGATGGTTGGTTGGTAGAGAGATGGTAGGTTGGTAGAGAGATGGTTGGTTGGTAGAGAGATGGTAGGTTGGTAGAGGTTGGTAGAGAGGATGGTAGGTTGGTAGACTGATGGTAGGTTGGTAGAGAGATGGTTGTAGGTTGGTAGACAGATAGAAGGTTGGTAGACTGATGGTAGGTTGGTAGACTGAAGTAGGTTGGTAGACGAGATGATAGGTTGGTAGTACGTATAATGGTAGTTGGTAGACAGAATATGGTATGTTGGTAAGACAGTAGAAGGTTGGTTGGTATACAGTAACATGGTAGGTTGGTAGACAGTAATGGTAGGTTTGGTTAGACAGATAGATGGTAGGTTGGTAGACAGTAATAACGTAGGTTGGTATACAGTAAAAGGTAGTTTGAAGACCAGAAGATGGTAAGAAGATGGGAGCCAGCAGCCATCCAGAGGTGGTGGTACTAACCATCATCTCACATTAAAAGTGAAACGTTTAGCCTGGTAAACAATTTACACTCTGCAGAAACAACTGACTCCCAGAGCTTACGAAGTTCCCTCACAGATCATTAAGAACGTTCCCTCCCGTTCATTAAGAACGTCCTCACGTTCATTAAGCACGTTCCCTCACGTTCATTTACGACGTTCCCTCACGTTCATCCGAACGTTTCCCCCTCACGTTTCATTAAGGAAACGTTCCCTCACGTTCATACGAACGTTCACTAATCACGTTTCATTACGAACGTTCCCCATCACGATCATTACGAACGTTCCCTCACGTCATTACTAACGTTCCCTCACGTTTCATTAACGAACGATTTCCCCACACGTTTTTCAAATGACGAACTTCCCTCACGTTCATTACGAATGCACTCTCACGTTCATGACGAACGCCCTCTCACTGCACGTTCTACACCTTCCTTATTACATACAGCTGTTTGACTCGTAGGAGGCCCCAAGTTAATCGTGTTTACCACAGACATACTGTAGGGGAGAACTAACTCAGCGCCTCCTACGAGTGAAATACCACAAATTATTATGGTAAGACCTGGTGCGGGCTAACCCTAGCAATAACTCTTGTTGTATCCGACAGAGGAGATTCGGTCCTACTTCGGCGAGTCGGTGGCCATGTACTTCAGCTTCCTGGGATTCTACACTATGGCGCTGGTGGTGCCAGCTGGCCTGGGTCTGGCACAGATGGTACATCCACCGTAGACACACACTCACTGATACGCTCTCTTTGCAGCCTTTAACTTAGTGTGGGTCACCATACTGCTGGAGGTAGGTCAGAGAGGGAGAGCAACATAATAACTTGATCCACTGTATTAATTACTATTGTCGTAGTTTCATTTAATATCCCTGGTGTTGTATTGGGACTTACTTACGTTGAATGAAAGTATTTTTAAGCATGTTTTATTCATTTATTTTATGGGAACTGTTAGATGTTGAACTTAACTAATGACACTGCTACTGTTGTATTTTTGGGGGGAACAGGAGTCTTTATTGTAGATGCTATAGGTTACCGTAACACAGAAAGTAAAATTGAATAGACTCAGTGTGTATATTGTATTTACTCAGTGTGTGTATATGAATGTACCTTCAGTGAGTAACATAGTAAATCGAACCGTATATCTTCAACCAGCACCATCCGATCATCACTTATTACCTTCCTCATCAACCACCATCATGACCCAGCACCATCAACCACCATCATGACCCCGCACCATCAACCACACACCATGACCCAGTCACTCATCAACCACCAACATGACCCACGCACCATCAACCATCCATCCATGACCCAGCACCATCAACCACCATCATGACCCAGCACCATCACCATCCATCATGACCCAGCACCATCAACCATCATCATGACCCAGCACCATCAACCACCATCATGACCCAGCACCATCAACCACCATCATGACCCAGCACCATCAACATCATCATGTACCCCAGCACCATCAACCACCATCAGGACCAGCAACCATCAACCATCATCATGACCCAAGCAACATCAACCCCATCATGACCAGCACCATCAACCATCATCATGACTCAGCACCATCCACCACCATCATACCAGCACCATCAACCACATCAGAACCAGCACCATCAACCATCATCATGACCTCAGCACCCATCAACCACCATCATGACCCAGCACCATCAACCATCAATCAGAACCCAGCACCATCAACCACCAACATAGACCCAGCACCATCAACCATCATCATGACCCTAGCACCACAACCACCATCCTGACCCAGCACCACAACCAACATCATGACCCAGCACATCAACCATCATCAGGACCCAGCACCATCCAACCACCATCATGACCCAGCACCAACCAACCATCATCATGACCCAGCACCATCAACGCACCAAGACCCAGCAACCACCATCAACTCACCATCATGCACCCGCACCATCAACAACCACCATGACCCAGCACCATCAACCACCACCATGACCCAGCACCATCAACCACCATCCTACCCAGCACCATCAACCACCATCATGAACCCATCACCATCAAACCACCACCCATGACCGCAGCATCATCACCACCATCATGACCCAGCACCATACAACCACCACCATGATCCATCACCCAATTTCCAACCACCATCATGACCCAGCACCATCAACCACCATCATGACCCAGCACCATCAACCACCATCATGACCCAGCACCATCAGCCACCACCATGATCCAGCACCATCAACCACCACCATGACCCACATCAACCACCATCATTTACCCATCCACCATCAAACCACCACCATGATCCAAGCACCATCAACCACCATCATGACCCAGCACCATCAACCACCATCATGAACCCAGCACCATCAACCACCACCATCAACCAGCACCATCAACACCCCAATGATCCAGCACCATCAACCACCACCATGACCCAGCATCAACCACCATCATGACCCAGCCACCATCAACCATCCCACCATGATTCCAGCACCATCAACCACCTATCATGACCCAGCACCAACAACCACCATCATGACCCAGCACCATCAACTAACCACCAGACCCAGCACCATCAACCACCAACCATGACCCAGCACCATCATGACCCAGCACCATCAACCACCACCATGACCCAGCACCAACAACCACCATCATGACCCAGCACCATCCACAAAAAAAAAATCCCTCGTCCACCTAATTATGCCCAACCACCATCATGACCCAGCAACCAACAACCCACCATCAAGACGCCAGCACCATCAACCACCGACCATCACCCAGGCACCATCAACCACCACCATCACCCAGCACCAATCAACACCATCATGACCCACCCCATCAACCACCACCATAGATACCAGTCACCATCATGAAACCCAGCACCATCACCACCAATCATGAGACCCAGCGACATCAACCACCATCAATAGACCCAGCACCATCAACCACCACCATGATCCAGCACCATCAACCACCATCATGACCCAGCACCATCAACCACCACCATGACCAGCACCATCAACCACCATCCTGACCCAGCACCATCAACCACTCATGACCCAGCAACCATCAACTCCCAACCATGACCAGCACCATCAACCCACCAACCATGACCCAGCACCATCAACCACCATCATGAACCCAGGCACCATCCCAACCACCACCAAGACCCAGCACCTATCAATCCACCACCATGACCCAGCACCACAACCACCACCATGACCCAGCAACATCAACACCAAATAGACCCAGCACCATCAACCACCACCATGATCCAGCACCACTCAACCACCATCATGCCCCAGCACCATCAACCACCACCATCACCCAGCACCATCACCACCACCATTCACGCCACGCGCCATCAATGACCATTCTAAAGCATGTGGTTTCAGTGCAGCCAGTGTGAAGCACCGGTGGCGCGAGTTGGCATACTCATGGGGGACGCTAGGAACGACACAACCTGGAAACAGGCGCCCCAGACCAAACTCCGAGGTACTATGCAACAAAACCCCATTACTGGCCGTTATGAACCTGGCTTACCCTGCTACTGAAGACCCAGGTTTCAAGGTGAGAGAGAGAGAGAGAGAGAGAGAGAGAGAGAGAGAGAGTAGAGGAGAGAGAGAGAGAGAGAGATAGAGAGAGAGAGGAGAGGAAAGAAGAGAGAGAGATGAAAAAAAAAAAATTTATGCAATTACGCTCTTCAAGGTAGTGTATGTTGTGTGTGTGTTTGTACCCACCTATTTGAGGTTGCAGAGGTTGAGTCATAGCTTCTGGCCCCGCCTCTTCACTGATCGCTACTAGGTTCTCTCTCTCCCTGCTCCACGAGTCATTATCAAGACGTCGTCCTTAAAACGATGTATGGTTCCTGCCTCCACTACACTTTCTAGGCTATTCCACTTTCTGACAACTCTATGACTGAAGAAATACTTCCTAACATCCCTTTGACTCATCTGAGTCTCACTTCGCAATTGTGACCCCCCTTGTTTCTGTGTTCCATCTCTGGAAACATCCTGTCTCTGTCCCCACCTAGTCTATTCTCGCAGTATTTTGTATGTCGTTATTATGATTCCCCTGACCTTCCTGTCCTCCAGTGTCGTCAGGCCGATTTCCCTTAACCTTTCTTTGTAGGACAATCTTGCGTGTATGCGTGTGTGTGTGTGTGTACTCACCTATTTGTACTCACCTATTTGTGGTTGCAGGGGTCGAGTCCTAGCTCCTGGCCCGCCTCTTCGGCTATTGCTACTAGGTCCTCTCTCTCCCTGCCCCATGAGCTCTATCAAACCTCGCCTTAAAACTATGTATGGTTCCTGCCTCTACCACATCACCTTCTAGGCTATTCCACGGCCTGACTACTCTATGACTGAAGAAATACTTCCTAACATTCCTTTGATTCATCAGAGTCTCACTTCCAATTGTGACCTCTGTGACCTGTGTCCCATCTCTGGAACATCTCGTCTTGTCCACCTCGACTATTCCGCGCAGTATTTTATAAGTCGTTATCCAATGTCTCCCTCTGACCCTCCTGGCCTCCAGTGTCCGATACAGGCCGATTTCCCTCAACCTTTCTTCAAGGACAATTCCCGTAGCTCTGGGACTAGTCATGTTGCAAACCTATGCACTTTCTCTAATTTCTTGACGTGCTTGACTAAGTTGGATTCCAAACCTGGTGGCTGCATACTCCCAGTATGGGCCTAACGTAGATTGGTATAATACAGAGTCTTAAACGAAACCTATACTGAGTGTATCGGAACGCTATCCGAAGGTTTGCCAGGCGCTCCCGGTATGCTGACAGCAAGTTATCTGATTGATGTGCGCCTCAGAGATTATGTTCCGGTGTTATACTCCACCCCCAGATCTTTTTCCTTGAGTGCTGTTTTGCAGTCTTGGCGCCATCACATAAACTATATTGTGTTGCGTCTTCTTTGCCCTTCCCCAATCTTCAAGACTTTGCATTTGGCAAGGGTTAAATTCAAGGAGCCAGTGGCTGGACAGGCTTGTAGCCTGTCCAGCTCCTCTTTGAAGTCCTGCCTGATCCTCATACCTATGTGATATCTACTCAATTAACTTCACATCATCTGCAAACAAGGACACTTCGAGTCTATCCCTTCCGTTCTGACCTTTCACGAATACCAAGAACACAGCAGGTCCTAGTACTGACCCCCTTGTGGAACCCCGCTTGTCACAGGCGCCACACTCATACACCTCATCGCCGTTACCATGACTCGATAGTTGCCTCCCTGTCAGATATTCTCTGATCCATTGCAGTGTCCTTCCTGTTATTGGGGCCTGGCCTCTAGCTTTTGCAGTACCTCTGTGAGGAACTGTGTTCGAAGGCCTTCCTTGTCCGTCCAAAAATACGCAGTCGTCCACCCCTCTCTCTTTGTCTTACTTCTGACATCTGTTCCATAAAACTCTATAGGTTTGGTGACACAGATTTTTCCTTCCTGAAACCGTGTGGAGTCAATTATACAGCTTGTTTCTTCCAGTGCCACCACCACTCTCCTCCTGATGATCTTACTCCATGACCTTCGGCATACTATACACCCGGTTAGTGATACAGTCCTGTAGTATTATTGCCTCATGTCTGTCACCCTTTATTAAAAATTGGGTACTACATTTTTGCCATTTTCCATACCTCAGGAGTTGCCAGTTTCAAAAATGATGTGTTGAAGATCTTTGTTAATGGCTCACAACATAGCTCTGCTCCCTCATTAAGTGACCCATGGAGAATGTAGTCTGGTCCCACCGTCCTTGAGTGTCAAGTTCGGCATAGCACTTCTTCACCATCCTCCTTGGTTTAGATGACCTCATCTAGCACTTTCTGGTGTTGCCCCCCTGTTCTGATTTCTAGGAGTCCTACTACTGGTTTATCCACTGAAAATACCTCTTTAAATCTTGTGTTTAGCTCCTGACATACCTCTCGGTCGTTTCTTTGTTTTTGGGAATTCCCCTCACCCTTCCTCAGTCTGATTTACCTGGTTCCTTGACTGCTGTTTTCGTCCTGATGTCGGCTGATACAACCAGCTTCGGGACCAGTCTTTACTTGATGAGCTATGTCATTTTCACATTGTCTCTGAGCCACCCTTCTTATCTGTGCATATTCGGTTTCTGGTTCTTCGGCTGATTTCTTTATTTTCCTGAGTTCTCTGTCCTTCTGTAACTTTTCCCATTTCTCTAGTACACCTTTTTATTGATGGTCCTCCCTACACCTTTGGTGAACCCAAGGACTCGTTCCTGTCTTCCATTATTTCTGTTCCCTTGGAACAAAACCTCTCCCTCTTTCCTCCATTGCATTATTGTTGCTACATAGTCCATCAATTTTATTTTCTTGTACTGGTTTTCCTGTCAGTCCCTCTCCCAACTGAATGTCCTTGAAGGAAGTTCCTCATGTCTAGTAGTTCCCCCCTTTTGTAGTTTTGGTTTTCCCCAGCCCTATTCCTGCTACTCCTCACCAACTTGGAGCTCAACTATGTAGTCGAAGCAACAGAACCACATGATCACTTAGCTCCCCAGGGCCTTTCATCCATGATACCCTCGATGTCCGAACTACTTCATGGTGAATACAAGGTCCAACCTTGCTGGCGTTTCATCCTCTCCTCTCTCTCTGGTAGTGTCTCTAACATGTTTGATGCATGAAGTTCTCGCAGTACCAACTTCCATGCATCTTGTGCTCACCATGTTTCGGGACCCCCATGGGGCTCCAGGTTTTCCCAGTCAATCTCCTTGTGATTGAAATCACCCATAACTAGTAACTTTCCACCCCCCAGTGGTGCTTCTCCTGGCCCACCTCGGCTAGTGTGAGGTCCGATCATTGCTCTGGTTGCTTCATTGTAATTCTTCTCTGGCGTCCTGCAGTTCTGTGTTGGGTTGTACATTACTGCAATTATCACCTTATGTCCCTCAGACTGGATAGCTCCTACTAAGTAGTCCCTTTCGCCCATTCCATCCATTCCTTTCGCATTTTCTCAAAACCGCCACCCACTGGTTTTTAATGAGCATTCAAACCCTCCTCCCCCTCTCCTCCCCTCTGTCTTTCCTTAGGATGTTGTATAACCGATGAAAGATTGAATCTGTTATTATTCCTGGGTGAGTTTTTGTATTCCTGTAGTGCATTTTAGGTCTGGGGGATGTCCCTCTTTGATTCTTTCGTGCCACTCCTCATACTGTTTGTTTATTCCATCTGCATTTGTAAACCACACCTTAAACTTCCTTTTCTAGATGTGGTCTGGGGAGGTATAGTGGGGTTGTGGAAAAGAGGAGACCCTGGTAATGAACATATGGGTTGTAGCTGTGGGGGTGTGGAGTTGTATTGTATTGGGTGGGTGGTCAATTGGCTGTGGATGGGTGTTTTGATTTAGAGTGTTTGGTTGCACTGGAGTTGACCCTGGTAGGGAGGCTTCTATAGGAATTTGTGATGGAGGCGTATTTGATCTTCTTCCTGGGTCTGGGATCTCCGTCCTGTCCTTTCCATCCCCTCTCATTCCTCCATTCGGCCTTTGTACCATCTCTCTCATTTCTTCCTTTCTCTTGTGTTTCTGTCACGGTCGAGATACACCTTCCTGTAAATGCCGTCATGTCCTTAATCGTTGCTTCTTCTCCTGCAGGATCCTGTCCGAGTTGCTTCTGCCCCATGAAGGTCACTCTCCACTTGCCGGGTTCTTTTTTACAAACCCCCTATTCTCCCGAAAATTTTCTCAGCTGGGTCATATCTCTTCTCCTATTGCTTTCATGATGCTTTCAAATTGCGTTTTTTCCCCTTGTTTTCTCTTGCTTCATATGTTTCCCCATCGACTTCCTGGAGCCCATACACAAAGACTGACCTCACCCTTTTCGTTCTCTCACCCACTGCATATCCCAGTGTATCCCCTCATTTAATTTGGTTTCCCATACCACTGCAGCTTGCCTTTCATCAGTTACACATGGCTAAAGAGTACTTGAGGCTCAGTGGCCTGTCATTATTCCCTCCTCGGCTTTCCTGGGCTCTGTTGTTGTCTTTTTGGGCCACCACATAAAGCTTAGCTCTTTCCTTTGCTACAGTCTCCTCTGATAGAGCATCTCCATGCAGTTGTGCCCCTTCTTATCCCCCTACAGTCCCCTATATTTGTGGCTGAGGAGCAGTCACAGTTGTCAATCCCAAAATGTTCTTTATTCTTTTAGGCAGTTTCAGATTTTTCAATTCCTCTTCTAAACATGTATCCAAAGCTTCTGCTGCTTTGACATGCACCTCATCACTTCCTGCATTCCATATCTTACCTCTCTTCCATTCTCGTGCTAAGTTCTTCTTGTTTCTTTTCCCAATCATGATCCATTTTTTATGAGCTCTGCCTGCCCAATCGTCCTCTGCATTTTCCTCCTCCATGTTCCCTTGGTTTTTCTTGTTGCTCTCAGGCAACCATTTTTGTTTTAATCCTGATTGCCTCAGAGTGGGAAACCTATGGTAGATGCTGTATGTTAGTTAGTAGTTTGTATTTCAGAGTGTGGGGTGGGGAAGTATGGTAAGAATCTGGGAGGCAATGGGGAGCTGAGTGGGGAGGGGTGGGGAGGGTGATCGCAGGGAGGGAGGGATCAGGGGAAGTTAGTGATATGGACAGTGGTAGAGGGGTGAGTGTTAATGTGTGTGTGTGTGTGTAGTGTGTGTGTGTGTGTGTGAGTGTGTGTAGTGTGTTGTGTGTGTGTGTGTTTGTGTGTAAATTTGTGTGTAGTTGAAGTTGGAATTATGTGTTGGTTAAATATGTACTGAAAGGTAGGTGGCTTGTGCGTTTAAGGTAAGTCTCATGGTCCATCAGAGAAGCTACCCACAACCTTCCATTGTACAATAGACCCCCGACCTCCTGGGACCTTCCCGGCACTTACTTACAAGTTGTGTTGTTTGTGTGTGTGTGGTGTGTGTGTGTGATGTGTGTGAGTGTGTGTGTGTATGTGGGTGTTATGTGTGTGTATGTGTGTGTGTATTTGGGTGAAAGTTGTGTGTAATGTGTGTGTGAGTGTGTGTGTGTGTGTGTGTGAGTGTGTCTGTTGTGTGTTTGGGTGCATGTGTGTTGTATGTGTGTGTATAATGTGATGTAATGGTGTTGTGTGGGAGTGGTGTGTTAGTAGAGTGTGGGTGTGTGTAGTGTTGTGTGTGTGTGTGAGTGTGTGTGTGTGTGGCGTGTGTTGTGAGTGTGTGTGTGTGTCAAATTATGTTGTCGAATAATGTGTGTGGGTTTATTATGTTTCTGAAAAGTAGGTGGCTTATGCGCTTGGGAGTGTAATGTAGATCACAGTTGTCGCTTGAGTCCACAAGCCTGTGACCTGACTCCACCCTTTACAGTGTTGCCTATTTCTCGACCTGCTTATAGTGACTTAATCGCCTATGTTCCAATGATTACCATTATGCAAACCTTATTGAATACTAGAGTGCTATCTTTATCGTGCTCATGAGAAGTTATACCATTCACATTCAGCTTGGCGGGTTAACATATGAACCTGAAACCCACAACCAAACAAACCCATCATAGGTGATACAGTACTTGTAAGTGGCAGTATGCAGCCCTGTAGATTGTGCAGGTCGATGTGTCCTGGCGTCGAACCAGCTCGATGTACGTCCTGCGTAGATCCACCTCAATTTCTTCTCTAATAATGTACCCCATTCCCTGTATTTCTTCACTTGTCACAAGAAAGACACACGATTGTTTCACTTTATTATCTTTCTTGGTGACACTTGGCAACGCCGCCTTACACCACAAGCCTGCCCACAACGTTTTTTATTTTCCAGATCACTTAACAAAATTGTGAGCTCTCCCCACACTTATGCGGCACAGGCAATTAAAAAAACACTTCTAGGATTTGTTCACTGTTACCCTGACACACTTAACAACCCTTGCAGAACACTGGGTAGACCCTCAAAAACAAACACTTAAATTCCGGAGCACCGACGGCGTGACTAGCGCGCTCGCTGTCCCCTAATGTGTGAGTTGTGAGTGTGGAGTGTGTGTGTGTGTGTGTGAGTTGTGTGTGTGTGGTGTGTGTGTGTGTGGTGTGTGGTGTGTAAAAAAAATGTGTGTGTGTGAGTGTGTGTGTGTGTGTGTGTGTGTGTGTGGTGTGTGAGTGTGAGTTGTGTTGTGTGTTGTAGTTGTGTGTACTCACCTAGGTTGTACTCACCAAGATAGAGTTGCGAGGGTCGATTCCCGAGCTCATGGCCCCGCCCTCTTCACTGAACGCTACTAGGTCACTCTCCCCCTGAGCCGTGAGCTTATAATCATACCTCTGCTTAAAGCTATGTATTGGATCCTGCCTGCCACCCACTACATCGCTTCCCAAACTATCCACTACTGACTAACTCTGTGGCTGAAGAATACTTCCTAACATCCCTGTTGATTTCTCTGTGTCTTCCAGCTTCAACTGGTGTCCCCTTGTTACTGTGTCGCAATCTCTGAACATCCTGTCTTATGTCCACCTTAGTCAATTCTCTCCAGTATTTTGTATGTCGTTTATCATGTCCCCCCTATCTCTCCTGTCCCTCCAGTGTCGTCAGTTGATTTTCCCTTAACCCTCTCCCCTCGAGGACATAACCTCTAGCTCTGGGACTAGTCTTGTTGCAAACCATTGCACTTATCTCTAGTTTCTTTACGTGCTTGGCTAGGTGTGGGTTCCAACTGAGGTGCCGCAATACTCCAAATATGGGCCTAACGTATACGGTGTACGAGTTCCCTGAAAGATTCCTTATTACGATGTCCTGGAATGCTGTTCTGAGTTCTAGCGCCCATATGCCTGCAGGCAGTTATTTGGTTATGTGCGCTTCAGGAATTTCCTGGTCTTATACTCACCCCAAGATCTTTATTCCTTGAGTGAGGTTTTGTAGTCCCTTCTGACCCCCTAACTGTACCACGTCTGCGGCCTTCTTTTGCCCTTCCCCAATCTTCATGACATTGTACTTGGTGGATTGAACTCCATGCGCCATTTGCTGGACCCAGGTTCCGCATCCTGTCCAGATCCGCATTGTAGATTCCTGCCTGGGTCTTCGATCGAGTGTATTCTTCTCATCAACTTCACGTCAACTCGCAAACAGGGACACCTCAGAGTCTATTCCTTCTGTCAGTCGTTCACGAAATACCCGAAAACAGCACTGGTCCTAGGACTGCACCCCTGTGGGACCCCGCTGGTCACAGTGCCCACTCAGCCACCCTCAGCCACGTACCCTGACTGCGCGCGTGGCTGTCTTACCTTGACAATATTCTCCTGTCCATTGTATGCCTTCCCTGTTGTATCCCTGCTTGGTCCTCCAGTTTTTTGCACCAATCTCCTTGTGTGAACTGGTGTCAAACGCCTTCTTGAGCAGTCCAAGAAAATGCAATCCACCCACCCCTCTTCTTCTCTTGTCTTACTGCTTGTCACCATGTCATAGAACTCATAGGTTTGTGACACCGATTTCAACCGTCCCTGGAAACCATGCTGGCTGCTGTTGATGTAGATCATTCCTTTCATAGGTGTTTCCACACCACTCTTCTCCCTGATAATCTTCTCCATGAATTTGCATACTATACATGTCAGTGACACTGTCTGTAGTTTAATGCTTCATGATCTGGTTCTCCCTTTATTAAAGATTGGGACTTACATTTGCTGTCTTCCATGCCTCAGCAATCTCCCTGTTTCGATAATGTATTGAATATAGATGTTATAGGTGTACACATAGCCGCCTCTGCTCCTCCTCAATACCCATGGGGAGATGGTAATCCTCGGCCGCTCACTCACAGCCTTTTTGAGGTATCTACTCACTCAGAAGCCTCTCACTTCTTCCCTCGTATGGTGCACTGTGTCCAGCACATGGTGGTCTGCCCGCCCCACCTCTCTCCGTCTTTCTGGAGACCCTTCTGTCTCCTCTGTGTTGTGTGTGATGTGAGTGTGAGTGTGTGTGTGGAGTGTGTGTGTGTGTGTGTGTGTGTGTGTGTGTGTGTGTGTGTGTGTGTGTGTGAGTGTGTGTGTGTGGGTGTGTGTGTGTGTGTTTTGTGTGTGTGTGTGTTGTGTGTGTGTGTGTGTGTGTGTGTGTGTGTGTGGTGTGTGTGAGTGTGTGTGTGTGTGTGTGTGTGTGTTGTGTGTGTGTGTGTGTGTGTGTGTGTGTGTGTGTGTGTGGGGTGTGTTGTGTGTGTTGTGTGTGAGTGTGTGTGTGTGTTGTGTGTGTGTGTGTGTGTGTGTGTGTGTGTGGTGTGTGGGGTGTGTGTGTGGTGGTGGTGTGTTGTGTGTGTTGTGTGTGTGTGTGTGTGTGTGTGGTGTGTGTGTGTGTGTGTGTGGTGTGTGTGTGGTGTGTGTGTGTGTGTGAGCACTTTCCGGTATATTATAATACTTTTTTCCTTTTAAAGTTCAAAGACGTATAGTGCAGACATTGTTGACGCCATCCTGGGAATACCAACTTCATCCGTGGTGGTGGAGGCTCGATCCTACGTCACTGCAGTATCTATGTACTGCCATGTACTAGTGTGGTGGCTTTAAATACTAAGATATTACAAGGGCCCAGATGGAAATAAGTCATTTTGACTTTTTTTTAGGTTATCCTGGTAGATAATCTACACATATGCTGCTATGTATGATAATTTATGTAACTATCTATGTGTACCTGTACCTCAATGAACTTACAGATGTACTTCATATCTGCGCCGCTGGTGGGTCTGTGTCTGGTGGGTTCACTGTGGATGATGGTGGGTGCGTTCTGGGCTGAAGAGCAACTGGTCGACTGGAAGAGACGTTATGGTACCATAGCTGGAGTCTTCATCCACGTTCCTTCTGCTGTCTACGCTGCCATAGTCTGGCTACTTAACTATTACTACAAGAGGCTGGCTACCAGCCTCACCCAGTGGGGTGAGTACTGGGGGAATGGTTTAGAAAGACACGTAAGCAGACACTAAGCAAACTTGTCGGTATTTATTACCAAGGTTTATACCACTGGGGGAATCACCCACTGGGGGGTGAGTGCTGGGGGAATCACCCACTGGGGGGTGAGTGCTGGGGTGGGCTTCTAAAACGCTGCAAGAAAACAACTTGAAGAAATAAGCTCAGAATCTGTCTTCTGGATAGAATTTTTAGAACTTTAAAAGTAGAGGTCTGGGCGTCGCTCAGACCTCTACAACAACAATGTTAAGTTATACCATGAATTAAAGAAAGATCCTGGACTTCACCTTACGAAAACAGACAAAGCAAAAAGCGACAGTAATTAGAAACAAGGTAGATTATAGTGGAAAAGGAACATGTCATTAGAAGACAGGGGAACTTAGGTGCCCCTTAAGCATAATGTATCTGTCGCCCCTGAACCCGCATGAGCACCAGGGAAAACTTCCTTGCGTGATAAAAGGTTTAGCAACCCACAAGTTGAACAATGAAACACATGTACAGCATATGGGAATCTTTCTGAGGAACGTTTCGCCACACAGTGGCTTCATCAGTCCAATACAAAGAAGAACGGTGTAAAGAGAGGAGTTTGAGGTTTAAACAGTCCCTCAGCCTGGAATCGAAAGCGTTCAGACCATCAGTCTTGAAGAAAGTTAGGAGCTGTCCTCTAAGTTCGTATGATCAGGATCGCCCCAGTGTATGATTTATTAAACATCTTAATGAGTAACATTTGCAGAATGAGGCGAGGTGACCTAGCATGAGGGATGCCCTGGGGACAACACCACTGATCGGGTGATAATTAATTCTTTTCCTTGATGTGGCAGCTTAATAAAATGTGTTGTATGCGTGGCTCGTCCCAGTGTGTCTTGTTAATTGTGGAGGCTCACCACTGTTATCTTAAGCGTTGACAACACAACTTTTCCTTCTATCCATTATGTCGATTGATGTTTGGGGGTATGGGGGGAAGGTGAGGATAGAGGTTCAAGGAGGAAGGGGGGAAGATGATGATAGAGGTTCAAGGAGGAAGGGGGGAAGGTGAGGATAGAGGTTCAAGGAGGAAGGAGGGAAGGTGAGGATAGAGGTTCAAGGAGGAAGGAGGGAAGGTGAGGATAGAGGTTCAAGGAGGAAGGAGGGAAGGTGAGGATAGAGGTTCAAGGAGGAAGGAGGGAAGGTGAGGATAGAGGTTCAAGGAGGAAGGAGGGAAGGTGAGGATAGAGGTTCAAGGAGGAAGGAGGGAAGGTGAGGATAGAGGTTCAGGAAGGAAGGAGGGAAGATGAGGATAGAGGTTCAAGGAGGAAGGAGGGGAGGGGAGGGGAGGGAGGGGAGGGGGAGGAGGGGGAAGGGGAGGGGAGGGGAGGATGCAGCGTGGGTTGCTGTCACATTTACAAACACGTTGACAAAACACTGCCTATGTTATCACACGAAGTTTGTATGCAAACATATCTTAACATTCCTCTGCTCCAACACGATTTACTTATTTTTTACAGAGCAAAGTCGTGCACCAGCAGTGTTGACACTGAGAACAGACACTTACAGAGAGCAACACTTCCAACCATGACACCAGAGAGTGTAATATTACACGAGGAAAACATTAGCAGGAAAGAAGTACAACTTAATAATAATAATAATAATAATAATAATAATAATAATAATAATAATAATAATAATTATAATAATTATAATAGTATCTTTATTTCTACAAGTACATGTACAAGGTATACGGACCATAGCTGACATCGATGACATAGAAAGCCCTTTGTTATGCAGAGCATTTCGGGCAAATTATGTTAATTTTGTCCCCATGATGCGACCCACACCAGTCCACTAACACCCAGGTACCCATTATTACTGATGGATGAACATGAATAACAGGTGTAAGGAATCGAACCCAGACCCCTCACCGTGTGAAGTGAGAGCTTTTGCCACCAGACCACGGGCCACACTACTGAACCAGTCTGTACTCAGGTCTGCAGTGACACTCAGACCGTTGTGAGGACTGACGGGGAAGGGGGTGATATTGGTAATCTTGGTCCTTGTTTGCAAGTACCTTCATGCACGCCCTCTCTTAAAGTGTGACACAGCCGTCCGTAAAGAGCTTTACACTAGCTGCATCACTAGTCCTTTCGTACGTCATTCTAATTGGTGAACATGTAAGATGACAGGTAACTCTCTCAAACATATATTTGCATTTGAAATTCTCATATTCAGAGATGACAGTGTATTGGACAGCACAACAGATAATTAAAGAAAATATTGAAATGGATGACAGGTGACAGTTGAATATTTACACCAATCTAACCACCAGTTCAGTCGATGTTACTAACACTTCACACTGGCAGATTACCACTACTCACACCAAAGTTCTTTGAGTAGTTTTCGACAGATCTCAGATCACTGTCTAACCTTCCTCTAAGTTATTAGCTGTTCAAGCAAAGCCCTTGTCTTTCCGAGAAAGTCTGCTAGAACCTAGAAGAATATGAATGGCCTTCTTTAATCTGTATCTGTCTCTCCCATCGCAGAGAACCATCGTACGCAGAGTGACTACGACTGGAATCGAGTAAGCAAATTAGTGGTCTTCGAGTTCGTGAATAACTTTTGTTCTCTCTTCTACATCGCCTTCTACATCCAGGACATGGACATGTTGTGCTCGGTGAGTCTACCTCATGAATATGTTGTGATCAGTGCGTCCACAACATGGATGTTGTGATCGGTGAGTCTACCAAGGTTCCCTAACAATGGGGCCCCTCAGGTGAGGTAGGGAGGGTGATGGGGGCCCCCCACCAGGTCATCAGGTCCTGGGGACTCTCAAGGTAACCTGCTTCTTCATTTTCCTCCTCCTCCTGTCTGAGGAAGTTTTTCATGCTGCTGTACCAGTTGATTTTCCTGGTGGCGTGAGCATGTCCAGTGGAAGCAGCAGGGTAGTTCTTCACCCACTGACAGATGCAGGGTAGTTCTTCACCCACTGACAGATGCAGGGTAGTTCTTCATCCACTGACAGATGCAGGGTAGTTCTTCACCCACTGACAGATGCAGGGTAGTTCTTCACCCACGACAGATGCAGGGTAGTTCTTCCTCCCACTGACAGATGCAGGGTAGTTCTTCTCCACTGACAGAAGCAGGTAATTCTTCCCCACTTACAGATGCAGGTAGTTCTTCATCCACTGACAGATGCAGGTAGTTCTTCATCCCAACTGACAGATGCAGGTTTAGTTCTTCATCCACTGACAGATGCACGGTAGTTCCTCACCCACTGACAGATGCAGGTAGTTCTTCACCCACTGACAGATGCAGGGTAGTTCTTCATCTCCACTGACAGATTGCAGGGTAGTTCTTCAATCCCTGACAGATGCAGGGTAGTTCTCACCCACTGACAGATGCAGGAGTAGTTCTCACCCACTGACAGATGCAGGTAGTTCTTCTCCACTGACGATGCAGGTAGTTTCTTCTCCCACTGCAGATGCAGGGTAGTTCTTCTCCCACTGACAGATGCAGGGTAGTTCTTCACCCACTGACAGATGCAGGGTAGTTCTCACCCACTGACAGATGCAGGGTAGTTCTTCATCCACTGACAGATGCAGGGTAGTTCTTCACCCACTGACAGATGCAGGGTAGTTCTTCACCCACTGACAGATGCAGGTAGTTCTTCACCCTGACAGATGCAGGGTAGTTCTTCACCCACTGACAGATGCAGGGTAGTTCTTCATCCACTGACAGATGCAGGGTAGTTCTTCACCCTGACAGATGCAGGGTAGTTCTTCATCCCACTGCAGATGCAGGGTAGTTCTTCTCCCACTGACAGATGCAGGGTAGTTCTTCTCCCACTGACAGATGCAGGGTAGTTCTTCTCCCACTGACAGATGCAGGGTAGTTCTTCTCCCACTGACAGATGCAGGGTAGTTCTTCACCCACTGACAGATGCAGGGTAGTTCTTCACCCACTGACAGATGCAGGGTAGTTCTTCATCCACTGACAGATGCAGGGTAGTTCTTCACCCACTGACAGATGCAGGGTAGTTCTTCTCCCACTGGCAGATGCAGGGTAGTTCTTCACCTCTGACAGATGCAGGGTAGTTCTTCTCCCACTGACAGATGCAGGTAGTTCTTCACCCACTGACAGATGCAGGGTAGTTCTTCACCACTGACAGATGCAGGGTAGTTCTTCACCACTGACAGATGCAGGGTAGTTCTTCACCCACTGACAGATGCAGGGTAGTTCTTCTCCCACTGACAGATGCAGGGTAGTTCTTCACCCACTGACAGATGCAGGGTAGTTCTTCACCCACTGACAGATGCAGGGTAGTTCTTCTCCCAATGACAGATGCAGGGTATTTTTCTTCACCCACTGACAGATGCAGGGTAGTTCTTCTCACCCACTGACAGATGCAGGGTAGTTCTTCTCCCACTGACAGATGCAGGGTAGTTCTTCTCCCACTGACAGATCAGGGTAGTTCTTCTCCCACTGACAGATGCAGGGTAGTTCTTCACCCATGACAGATGCAGGGTAGTTCTTCACCACTGACAGATGCAGGGTAGTTCTTCATCCCACTGACAGATGCAGGGTAGTTCTTCTCCCACTGACAGATGCAGGGTAGTTCTTCTCCCACTGACAGATGCAGGTAGTTCTTCCCACTGACAGATGCAGGGTAGTTCTCTCCCACTGACAGATGCAGGGTAGTTCTTCTCCCACTGACAGATGCAGGGTAGTTCTTCATCCCACTGACAGAATGCAGGGTAGTTCTTCTCCACTGACAGATGCAGGGTAGTTCTTCACCTCTGACAGATGCAGGGTAGTTCTTCTCCCACTGACAGATGCAGGGTAGTTCTTCATCCACTGACAGATGCAGGGTAGTTCTTCTCCCACTGACAGATGCAGGGTAGTTCTTCATCCACTGACAGATGCAGGTAGTTCTTCTCCACTGACAGATGCAGGGTAGTTCTTCACCCACTGACAGATGCAGGGTAGTTCTTCTCCCACTGGACAATGCAGATGAGGTAGTTCTTCTCCCACTGACAGATGCAGGGTAGTTCTTCCCCACTGACAGATGCAGGGTAGTTCTTCACCCACTGACAGATGCAGGGTAGTTCTTCTCCCACTGACAGATGCAGGGTAGTTCTTCTCCCACTGACAGATGCAGGGTAGTTCTTCATCCACTGACAGATGCAGGGTAGTTCTCTCACCACTGACAGATGCAGGGTAGTTCTTCATCCACTGACAGATGCAGGGTAGTTCTTCCCACTGACAGATGCAGGGTAGTTCTTCATCCCACTGACAGATGCAGGGTAGTTCTTCTCCACTGACAGATGCAGGGTAGTTCTTCATCCCACTGACAGATGCAGGGTAGTTCTTCTCCCACTGACAGATGCAGGGTAGTTCTTCTCCCACTGACAGATGCAGGGTAGTTCTTCACCCACTGACAGATCAGGGTAGTTCTTCTCCCACTGACAGATGCAGGGTAGTTCTTCTCCACTGACAGATGCAGGGTAGTTCTTCTCCCACTGACAGATGCAGGGTAGTTCTTCTCCCACTGACAGATGCAGGGTAGTTCTTCTCCCACTGACAGATGCAGGGTAGTTCTTCTCCCACTGACAGATGCAGGGTAGTTCTTCACCCACTGACAGATGCAGGGTAGTTCTTCATCCACTGACAGATGCAGGGTAGTTCTTCATCCACTGACAAATGCAGGGTAGTTCTTCGTCCACTGACAGATGCAGGGTAGTTCTTCTCCCACTGACAGATGCAGGGTAGTTCTTCATCCACTGACAGATGCAGGGTAGTTCTTCTCCCACTGACAGATGCAGGGTAGTTCTTCTCCCACTGACAGATGCAGGGTAGTTCTTCATCCACTGACAAATGCAGGGTAGTTCTTCGTCCACTGACAGATGCAGGGTAGTTCTTCTCCCACTGACAGATGCAGGGTAGTTCTTCATCCACTGACAAATGCAGGGTAGTTCTTCATCCACTGACAGATGCAGGGTAGTTCTTCTCCCACTGACAGATGCAGGGTAGTTCTTCATCCACTGACAGATGCAGGGTAGTTCTTCATCCACTGACAGATGCAGGGTAGTTCTTCATCCACTGACAGATGCAGGGTAGTTCTTCTCCCACTGACAGATGCAGGGTAGTTCTTCTCCCACTGACAGATGCAGGGTAGTTCTTCTCCCACTGACAGATGCAGGGTAGTTCTTCTCCCACTGACAGATGCAGGGTAGTTCTTCACCCAGACAGATGCAGGGTAGTTCTTCTCCCACTGACAGATGCAGGGTAGTTCTTCTCCACTGACAGATGCAGGGTAGTTCTTCTCCCACTGGCAGATGCAGGGTAGTTCTTCACCTCTGACAGATGCAGGGTAGTTCTTCTCCCACTGACAGATGCAGGGTAGTTCTTCATCCACTGACAGATGCAGGGTAGTTCTTCACCCACTGACAGATGCAGGGTAGTTCTTCACCCACTGACAGATGCAGGGTAGTTCTTCTCCCACTGACAGATGCAGGGTAGTTCTTCTCCCACTGACAGATGCAGGGTAGTTCTTCTCCCACTGACAGATGCAGGGTAGTTCTTCTCCCACTGACAGATGCAGGGTAGTTCTTCTCCCACTGACAGATGCAGGGTAGTTCTTCTCCCACTGACAGATGAAGGGTAGTTTTTCCCCCACTGAAAGATGCAGGGTAGTTTTTCCCACTACAGATGCGGGTTTAGTTTTTTCTCCCACTAAACAGATGCAGGGTTTTCTTCACCCAAATGAAAAATCCCAGGGGTAGTTCTTCTTTCCCACTGACAGTTGCGGGTATTTCCCCTTTTTCCCTGACAAACCCAGGGTATTTCCCGCCAAAGGGACAGTTTCCGGGTAGTTCTTCTCCCACTGACGGGATGCGGGTATTTTCTTAAATCCACTGACAAAAATCCCGGGGGTATTTCTTGGCCATTTACAGATGCAGGGTATTTCTTCTCCCCACTAAACAGATCAGGGTAGTTCTTAACCCCACAAAAAATTTGAAGGGTAGTTCTTCGCCCCCTAAACAGATGCAGGGTATTCTTCCCCCACGACGGGGATGCAGGGTAGTTTTTAAACCCACTGAAAAAATGCGGGGTTTTTCCCTTGGGCCACTGACAGATGCGGGGTAGTTCTTCTTCCACTGACAAATGGGGGGTGTTCTTGTTTACTGACAGATGCAGGGTAGTTCTTCATCCACTGAAAAATGCAGGGTAGTTCTTGGGCCCACGCGAGGGCAGGGTAGTTCTTTCCCATGCCCAGATGCGGGGGTAGTTTTTTCTCCCACTGACATTTTCAGGGGTTGTTTTTCCCCACTGACAGTTTGCAGGGTAGTTTTTTCCCCCCCAACAGATCGGGAAATAAAATTTAAATGCTTTAAAAGGTTTGTGTTTAAAGTAATTTTGTGTGTGTGTGTGGTGTGGTGTGTGTGTGTGTGTGTGTGTGTGTGTGTTTTGTGGTGGTGTTTTGTGTGTGTGTGGGGTTTGTGGTGTGTGTGTGTGGGGGTTTTGGTGTGTGTGTGTGGTGGTTGTGTTTGTGTGTGTGGGGGGTGTTTTAAAGTGTTTTTGTGGGGCGATTGTGGGTTTTGTGTGTGTGAGGGGGTGTGGGGTGTGTTTTATGTGTGTGAAAGGTGTGGGGTGGGGGGGGTTTGTGTATGTGTG